GGTCTACATTTCTTAAAGGAAAAAAAGAAAGAGACCAAATCAGGCAAGCTATCATTAACCATAACAATACTACTTGTTATCCAAAATGTATTAGTCTGAATGTGACGTGAGTGTGAGCTAGTGTTGAAGCTTTCTCGCTGTTTTTAACCTTCAGCACTGTTCAACGTAGCAAAGAGCGAGAAACTGCTGCTGTCAGCACACAATAGCAGATATGCGTGTGATTACGTGTCCATGTTTGTGCCTCTTACCAGAGTGAGATAGGAGGATATGTCTAGACTTTCCTCAATAAATACGAACAAATATCACAGAAAGTTATTTTACGCTAGAGCAGATTGTCAAGAACAGGTCATTTATAATTAACATGTTTAGTGAGATGGAGTATCTATTAAAAGACCCAAAATATTTATGCACCATTTCATAGCCTTTTATTTCGTGCTTTAATTTGAAATGTTTCATCTTACAGGAAAATCACAAACCGAAGATATCTGGTCCATATCACCAGGATAAATGAATAGATTTTAAAGTAGTACATTTATAGCAGCTTCTTAATTGGTGCAATGTTATTTATCCATTTACTCTAACCTCAAACTGTCATTCATGAGTGAAACATTTCAAGCTTCTTGGGAGATTCCTCATTCATCTTTATTAGCCTGCCAGTAATAGAAATATCAAGTATTTGGCCACCTATTAACATTACTCTGCACAAACAGTATGTTTATCACTTAAACGTCACTTAAACACTGTGCTAATTGGAAAAGGCTAATATTATGATCAAACAGCCCACTAGAGTGTTGCACATTATCTACTGGTCTAGATATTTATGCCATAATTAAATCCCAACACATCTGTGTTTGTGTGGGAGCTAAGTACGCTACATGCCACAGCCCATAACGAAAAGATTGCAGAAAGGGAGAAACTAAACCGAAAAGGGGGGAAAAACATCAGTAAAGTGTGAGAAGTCCTTTTATAGTACTGTAGACAAATAGAAACCTGTGTAATCCATATAGTTTTAAATTGTTTGCACACCTTACACATTCACTTAAAGGGAACTCGCCTTAAAATGAAAAATGTCAAGATTTCACCTTTTGTGTTTCACAGAAAAAAACAATGTCTAAAGGCATAATAGTGAATTCCTTAAATGCAAATTCCTGTGGTTCAAGGGTCTCCGTTTAAGCAGTTACAGATTAAATCTTTGAGTTCATTAGATCAGTGGGAATCATTGAACTGGCACACAGGCATTTGAAACACCAGCAGGCAGATGGCACCTTATGCCAGCCAGATGAGGGGGCACCCATGTGGCAGTGATAGAGTTCATATTTAAGCCATTTCGTATTGGCTAATGGCCATTCATTTACAGCAGGGCATGTTAAGGCATTATATTGAATGTGCCCATTTTGACCCTGATGCTATTTTGCAGCTGTTGGATCAAAACAGCTCCATGCAGTACGTCTGCTCAAATGGATGAAAACCTGGAGTTATTTTTCTGTGTTGTAGAATATATTGATGAAACAAACAGCCTAATGCAGGTTGTGTGCAGTCTAAACATGCAGCAGTGCCAACAGGTGTTATTTGTGTTTGTTCATTATCAGGCCTGGACAGAAAAAAAAATCTCTCTCTCGCTCTCTCATTTTCTGTACTGATTTTGAGGGAAAATCTGTAGAATTGTAATGTGATATGTAGTTAACCATGGCAAAATTTGTTAAATAAAGCAGGGATTATTCAAATTAAAGCCTAAAAGGTGGAGTATGTGTAGGGTTATGAAAATGATGGCTGTTTCAATTCTGCAAAATATTTTCATTATAAAACACTTTTTTAGCTCTAATGAAATCTCTGAAATCTAATTGGATGAGTTGTTTTTGAAGCAGCTGTATAACAAATAAAATCAATTAATTCTATATATGCAAGTTGTTTGGCACACTTAAACATCATGATATTAGGCTTATTACTAATAGTAATTAACTATATTAAAGACTTGTTTAAAGTGATTATTATAATTATTACATTACATTAACATTAGCAGTTTGAACAATGTATTATGAACAAACATGAATCAACAATAAACATTAGTGTATTTAGAAATTAAAGGGATAGTTCACCCAAATAAAACAGTGTATCTTCTTTTTAGTTCCACAGAAGATAGAAAGTCAGACAGGTTTGGAACTACATGAAGGTGAGTAAATGACAGCATTTTCATTTTTGTTTCAACGGATGCATTTGTACTAATGTTAACAAATTGAAGCTTATTGTAAAGTGTTACCTTCATTTTATGCATAAAACTAGGGTTTGATGGGTCTGTATGATTGACTTGGGTGATGAATGCTGAGAACATGTAGTGAGGGAACAGGCAGTGCACCTCCTGTTCAATCATTAGTGCAGGTTTAGACTTGCTCAAGTTCTGCCTCAGGCTAATTTCTTTTGTGCTCTGGGTTAGAGAAGAGAGCAGCCACACAGCAACTGAAGTTAATTCTCCAAATGATCCAAATTTGCCTAAAGTGCAAAGCGCTCTGTTTACCTTGTAAAGGGTTTGAAGGGGTCTTGCTGTGTTCTTTAAGCAAATGGAGGTTAATTTGTTTTAGTCAGGGGCTCTGATTAAGTTCTTTACAGATGGCAGGACAGCACCGATAGCATCCGTTTTCACAGAACTGTCTAAATCCATTAAGACTAGGGACGGGACAACACGACTTGTCGTTAGAGCCCATGAAGAATATGTCTATGGAAAGAGCCCACGAGAGGATATGCTAATAAGCGTCTCTCACATTGCCAGACTCCGGGCAAAGCTATTACTTTTATTAGTTTAAAAAATATGCTATAGTCCAGCTGCGTAAAACCACCCTAAATACTGTGTACTTATTTTTCTGGTGAATAAGGAGAACCGAACAGGCCATATGTGACAAATAAGATGTGTTTTTGCCCACATAAATGTTACATCGCCTCTGGCTGTTGTTAAGCAGCTAAACTGTCGCAGAATGGGTGTATGGAGTAATGACTTGTGCACCCTGAGGGGCACTTGGTACATCGTTGCTGACAACAGTGTCAAAATGGATCCTTAACCCTCTTCATATTATTACCACTCAAAAATGAAAAGCGATAGAGGGAGAACAGAGGCGAGAAAAGCTGCCTAGCATAATTACCACAACACATTACGGCGCGAGTGATATTTTCCCCACTATGTGAAACCTCTCGGAGGATTCCGACGTTCCTTAATATTCCGTTTGCGGTGAGAACTTTTAATTATACATGAATGAGTTTTAGTGCTGCCTCTCGGTGATGACCTCCGAGATTAGAGCGCTGTATGCCGAGCTTCCAGGGGTCATGATTAGCTAGTCACACAAGGCTGAGCGTTTGATTGAATTTAGCTGGGAAAATGAAATGTTGAAATTTGATAGGGTAGCGATTACTGTATAAGAAACTTAAACAAGGCCATCAGGAGAGCGGTGCACTTTTAAGGGAATGGAATCAGAGTTGCTTCTAAGCCTCTGAGGGTCGGCACTGTATTATATTATAAAAAGCAGAGTAACATTGATTAGAATGATATTAGATTGATGTCGATCCCACTGTACTGTTGTACATGTAACCTAAAAGCTCTTTAATGAGATAGAGAGTGCATTTCCCCTTACCTATAGGTCTCTTTGGCTTCAGAGGGAACGAAAGACATCATGTAAAATGTGTTAGTATGGCTATAAGCACAGCCCCAAGATATTGCTCTGAGAAGCCAGAGATTAATAAGAGACTTGCTCTGTGATTAAATGTGGTCCAATTGCACATGGAGATGTAGACTTTGCCTCAGGATGGAGATTGCACTGCCATTCATCTGTATACGCCAGAGGCAAAGAATACATATTTCATCTATATTTGACATTCTTTGTACTCTGCAGTTTAGGTAATTTGGATCATACATGGGCCATGTAACTAATATTTCCGTTCAAAGTTCATAAATTCATTTCATAAATTCATAGTCATATTTTTTTTTTCTTTTCAGTGTCTTGAAAGGCTATTATATTTACATATCATATTTATATATCACACACATATCTTTATTTATATATATTAGATATTTATTTACTTATTTATAAGAGTATCAGAACCCCTGATTAAAATGCATTGATTTGCTTAAAGGGGTCATATGATGCAATTTAAATTTTTCCTTTCTCTTTGGAGTGTTACAAGCTCTTGGTGCGAAGATCTGTAAAGTTGCAAAGACTAAAGTCTCAAATCCAAAGAGATATTCTTTATAAAAGTTAAGAGTCAACCACGCCTACCTAAAACGTCACTATGTGGGAAGATTTGCATAACGCCGCCCAAATGTTCACGCAAAGCTGTGTGTTTCATTGTGAAAGCCATTCTCAAGCCCGCCCGCCTCCACTCACTCACTCAAGCCCGCCCGCCGCCCTCCGCTCACTCTAGGCCTCCGGCCTCCGCTCACTCTAGCCCGCCATGTGTTTCGTTGTGAAAGCGAAACTACTTTGTTTGGCCTTCCAAAAGAGGACACGACTAGAAATAAGTCAAATACACAAAATAATGTTCTTTTTAGCAACATCATATGACCCCTTTAAAGAGCAAAACCCCTTTTTTACAAGATTTGGTACTTTAAGCAAATTTTATCATATATCACACTTTCACATTTAAATTCAAGTCCAGTTCCATTAAACACTACAGCTGTCACATTTTTTAGAAAAAAAAAATAAAAAATACACAGGACGGGGATGTGAACCTGGATCTCTTTTAACACTTTAAAACAACAACTGTACCACAAAGACAAAAAAGGACATTGTCAAATAAAAAATAATGTATTTTAATTAAGAATCAGTTGACATGAAATACATTTAAAATGGAAAGTAGTCATTACTAAAATCGAATATAATAAAAGCATAATATACACTGTCAAAATGAGTGTGATATCAGCTTTTGGTCATACCACTGTGCACTCCCCTCAATGTAAAATACTTACTATAGGAACTTGGTCCTTGAGGTTGTCACTGGGTTTTCTGAAGTTGAATAGCCTGAAATCAGTGGTTTAGCCCTGCTTGAAAATGTCTGCAGGAAAAAGAAACCTAGATGACTGTAATTGCATCTCTTTTTTTTTGCCATATTTAACCCTCCTTTAGTACGGATGAGTGAAGCTCATGATGCTACTCTTGCTGCCTCACCGCAGGCGGGAACAAATCGAGCTGAAGCTCATTAAGAAAGTATCGTGACGATGGTGATCTAACCTTTAGCCATCTCTCAAAGGATCTTCAGAGGAGGCCGGCAGCTGCAGTTGTCGCTGTCCCTGTGCTGATCGAGTGTGCATACTCAGCCATACTGAATAATGCACGGCACCTGCCTGGGCTCAAGGAGGCCTGCTGTGTGCTGAAGAAAGAAAAAAACAGATCGCTAATTGACGTTGGTTCTTCATGCTGTGCTAATGAATTATCCATGAGGCACAATGCGTGCCGTCCTGTGAGGTGAGTGCTGGTATCTTCAAGAGAGGCAGAAAAATGATGGGTGTTTTTAAGTGACATCTGAATTATTTGGCCATTATGTTTCTGGATCTCAATTAGAAGAGGAGATGTCAGGAAAGCGAGATTTCAAATTTCTTTAGGGAAATTATGGAATACATCTTCCATGTTCAACTTGTGGCATTACCATGATGGTTGTCATTACACTGAAAGAACTCTAGGCTATTAATATGCTTGGGCTAAATTTCTAATAGGGTACTCAATCCCCCCCCTCTACACCCTTTGATGTTTAAATGTATATTCATTCTTCATTTGAACATTGAGCATAATTTATATTATATTATATTATAGCTTATTTGTCTTATTTCAGACATTACCATAATGTAAAATGTGGGGGGGAAAGTAATAATAAAGCACAAGTAGGTGTTTCCAAACTTTTGATGTTTAAATGTATATTCATTCTTCATTTGAACATTGAGCATAATTTATATTATATTATATTATAGCTTATTATTTCAGACATTACCATAATGTAAAATGTGGGGGGGAAAGTAATAATAAAGCACAAGTAGGTGTTTCCAAACTTTTAACTGGTCCAACAGGTGGCCAATAATGGAACAATGCAAAATGAGAGCGAATTTTGTAAATGTAACATTATTTTTGGTTTATATAGGAGCCACTGCCATACTTGGAACAAAACTGGCCACCGCCATGCAAGCAGTTCCTCTTCTGCATCACATACATCATGATCTGGCCAGATTTGCATCCAACAGAGGACAGAAGGCAGGGAAATTCCTTTTCCACTCTGCTGCAGATTTCTATCCTGTTTTAATAGGACAACTAGGAGTACCAGTTCCTGTAAAACACATTGGGACATGGCAAGATATCCTTTAGTAATTATTACAGATTTTTATTTCATTTGCTGGATCTAATTAAACCTTTCTAATTTCAGAGTCTGTGGTAGTAGCACTACAATACTGTACATTCCTCTACACAATGCTAATAAAATGCATCTAACCATGTAATCAGATCAATTGATCTGTTTAGAACCACTGATCTAATGTGCATAAAGTATATTCTCACCTGGTATACTGTAGAAATGCAATATGATGATCAATTTGTTTTATTCCCATTCAAAGAACTATATTTTGTCAGATGAATAACAGGTTGTTTATTATGTGTCTTCAATATGAGCAATCAGTCTGGAAAGTGAACGTTAAGCACATATTTTATCCTGCGCATTATTACCCACAATAGGTGCTGATGTAGACAAACAAGCAAGAAACAGCTGTATACGAGCATGCTTAAATCACTGCAGGAGCCAATGTGGTGCACACAAAGACAAGCCATTTATGTCTGTTATTGTAAATTGATGCTGCCCACAGCTTGGTTTCATACTTGTCCTCTTTTTAATTCACTTCTTATTTTCTCTGTGCTCTTATCTGAAATTACTGTTCAGAATTACTGTCCTGTCTCTTATGAAGAATTTAAAACCCTTGTTTGTCAAGTCATACCTTGTCTCAGAAAACCAGAAACGTAACTCAACAATTTCACATTTTCATATTCATGTCATATTTTCTGTGAAGACTCAAAAAACCCAAATGAGCCACTCTGCATTTCATATAACTAAACTGCCTGTAGTATTACTGCAGGGTGTTTTCCTAAAACTGTGGCACTTGATGAACTGTGCCAACTAATAGACCAGGGCGGATAATCAATATCTGAACTACAACATTCTCAAGAGCTGTTTCCCCAGTACAGTCAGGTGCGAAACCCCCCTGCCTTCAGACATACACTTTTGTGCTGTTTCCTAATAATTCTCTCACTGTTAAAACATTAGGAATCTTTTATTGTAAAAACATACTGGTTAGCTTAAGAAAGCTCCCTGTGTAGGCTACAGAAAATGCTGGATTTCGAAATGGTGCTAAAGTTTACATGGCTGCAACATACTTAGAGTATAGAGATTGTCAAGTCAAGTCACCTTTATTTATATAGCACCCAAGAGCAGCATTTACCGGGTGAAAAGTAACATTCCTAGTACTGACCCCTGCAGTACTCCATACTTGTAAATGATATGACACAATTTTCATTTACTGCTACAAATTGATAAGATTGAAGACATAGTCTAATAGTGCAAATATATCTATGACTGCTCTATTTAGGGACTTTCTACAGGTGTATCCTTTCAATTCTCAGCTCCATTCTGTTCATTATGATAAAAGTTGAACATGATCATGTAATTCTCCTCATTTCTCCATTACATAAGAATGGATTTGATGCCTTACGTTGCTTGTGTTCTTGTTTTCTACAAACTCCAGCGTACATACAGTAATGCCTTCATTTGCATGTTTTCATTTTGCTAGACATTTTTATAGAGAGGGAAACAAGATGCTTGCAGGCTGATTAATTCTCCTCTGTGACTTTTAGTTAAACATCAGCCCACATCCAATTCTCTTTGCTATGTCATGTTTTTCTCTCCTGTCATCTCAGTCTCTTTCTAAGTTCCTTTCTCATAGCACTGAACTCCCTGCTCCCTCCCTTTGCATCTCTTTTTAATAAACACCCACTGAACTTCACGTCTTAATTTGAGATATAATTTAAAATATCAATTCTCCTTGCGATGTGAAAGTGCTTTCTCAGAACTGATAGTATAGAGCATGTGATCAAGGTGCACTACACTCACATTCAGAATCAGAATCAGAATGAGCTTTATTGCCAGGTATGTTTACACATACGAGGAATTTGTTTTAGTGACAGAAGCTGGATTTCGAATGTGGAATTCCACATTGGATTCCATGTGGAATGCCAATTTTTTGTTTGTTTTATTTTTTCATTTTAGGGCCTTGTGGCCTTTAATTCACATAGAAATGGACAAGGATATGATGTGATTGAGCTAAAATTTAATTATTTGGCCTCAACACCAAATGATATGTCTGACGGAAATCCAATACAGCTCACCATCCAAATAACACCATTCCTGTAGTAAAGCATGGAGGTGGTAATATCCTGTTATAGGGAGGGGGGGGGCCTTCTGAAGCGACACGATGCATTTGTGTAAGAAAAATATCCATATTTACTACACATACGAGGAATTTGTTTTAGTGACAGAAGCTGGATTTCGAATGTGGAATTCCACATTGGATTCCATGTGGAATGCCAATTTTTTGTTTGTTTTATTTTTTCATTTTAGGGCCTTGTGGCCTTTAATTCACATAGAAATGGACAAGGATATGATGTGATTGAGCTAAAATTTAATTATTTGGCCTCAACACCAAATGATATGTCTGACGGAAATCCAATACAGCTCACCATCCAAATAACACCATTCCTGTAGTAAAGCATGGAGGTGGTAATATCCTGTTATAGGGAGGGGGGGGGCCTTCTGAAGCGACACGATGCATTTGTGTAAGAAAAATATCCATATTTACAACTTTATAAACCTTAATCTCTAGCTTCCGCTAACTGTCGTACGTGCATTCACGAGAGAGTGGCGTCCAGCGGATGACGTAGGCGTAGCATAAGCTCCGGTGAGAACATGCTAGTCTCGAGAAACAAGTTTTGTTTAAAGAAAAGGAAAACCAGTTTCCTCTTGGCTTATATAAAAATCCTCCGACATTTTTCTTTACAAATCCTCGTTTTGTACTACTAATTCATCTGCGCTTCCACGTTCGTCACGCGCGTTTGCCTACGTCCTACGTCATCCGCTGGACGCCACTCTCTCGTGAACGTGCGTACGACAGTTAGCGGAAGCTAGAGATTACGATTTATAAAGTTGTAAATATGGATATTTGTCTTACACAAATGCATCGCTTCGCTTCAGAAGGCCTTTATTAACCCCCCGGAGCCGTGTGGAC